CACTGGTGGTGTGGGTGCCAGTGAACCAGCCCTGAGGGGAGGAGAGCAGAACTGGCCCTGCTCCTTGCTGCCTGCTGCATTGGGTCAGCTAGCTGGGGCGGCACTGGAGAGCTGGCTCTGGTGGTGATGGTGAGGGAAAACCGGAGGCTGAACAACCCAGCTAGCACCCAGACTCAGAACCAAGGTTATGAAGTTAGCTCACCCCACATCCACCTCATCTGCTGAAACTTGTGAAGGGGCTGGACCTGCAGATCCAGAACTCCAGGATCTCCATGACATACGGCAATAACAGGGTATCCAAGAAGAGTTCCAGGGAGGGCCCAGCATCAATGGTGTCACAGAAGTCAGAGTCTGGACTTGGACCAATGACTCATTGCAATGAACAGTTATAAGTAAAGATATATGAACTAAAGGGTATACTATGTGGCTTGGTCACATTGCGGCTTCCATACTGAGATTTTATTTGTTGGTTGTTTTGTTTTGCTTTCTTTCTCTTCTTTTTTTTTTAGTTTGTTTGTTTCTGCTTTTATTTTATTTTATTTTGGGAGGGCAAGTTGCAATGGCAGAGGGTGAATACAGAGGGACAGGGAGATGAGTGGAATCAGGTACAGGATGTGAAATCCACAAAGAATCAATAAAAAGTAAAAAAAAAAAAAACACCATCACATCCAGCTATTTTTTTTATATTAATACATTTTGCTTCCATGACATCTACTCGTTAGCGTTTGAGGATTCCATTTTAATTACTAATGTACATCTTAATGAAAATTCATGCGATGTCTATATCCTACCTTTCTGGGTTACTATACTCTAGGCCTGTTCATTGTCTAATTTTAAACTCGGGATGATTTTTTTCTCGGCAGGATAGTGTGAGAGCACAGCAACCACCAAACTAGACTTCACTTATCCATATCAAACTAGCTCTTATCATGTAGAGAAAATGAAGTCTGGAAGACAGACATTGAGATAACACAGATTTAGCATGGTAACGAGACTTGGGCAGAGGCCAGGTGCTCTAGAAGCTAGAAGAAAAGGGGCCCCTGGGAGAAGGATAGTCACCTAACTGCAACTTTTCTACGACAAGCCAGAGAGTTCCGGAGGATTCCGGAGAGATGGCTCAGTAGTCAAGCAGATATACTGCTCTTGCAGAGGACCCAGGTCTGTCTCCCAACACCCAAGTCAGGCTACTGACCACTGCCTTTCAGTCTAGCGCCAGAGGATCTGACGCCCTCTCCTGGATTCTGCAGACATGTGCATCTACAGGTGCACAGGCTCGTATGATCTAGTGCCCTCTACTGGTCTGCAGGTGTACATGTGGGCAGAACACTCTACATAATAAATAAGTTTTTAAAAAGTAAAAAATAAAAATAATTAAAGAATAAATTTTGAAACCGCTTTTCTAGAAATTTATGTTAGAAGCCGTGACGAGTTTGAGGAAAGGTAGGGTGACTGGCCTATTCACTTTATTTTGGGGAGGTTTGAAACACTGAAAGGGTTAAGTGCCTTCGTAGTTTGTATAAAATGAGTGTTTATCGTTATAGAAAGAAGAGCCGATGGAGCTGGATGGGGTGGGGATGGGAAAGCCTTCTGGTACAGGTAAAGCTGGGGGATGCAGAACACTAATGTGATGAACTTGAAATTCACCTGTTTTCCCATTCTTCAGCATGTCTTCTCAATTTCCAACAGTGTATTTTAAGAGCAAAGTATTAAATTTGATGGCAACCGCTCAGTCAATAAAATGCCAGCCATGCAAATGTAAGAAGCCCAATTTGATGCTCACCATCCACGTGAAGGAAAGGTGTGGTGGTGTACACTTGTGGGAAGGCAGAGAGAGATGGGTCCCCAGAGCATGGCGGCAGGTCACCCTAGCCTAATCAGCGAGCTGCAGGTCCCAGTAGGAGAGTCTGTCGTAAAAACGGAGGCATGGCATAGTGACAGACACATCCTTTGCATCTTAGGACTTGGGGCACAAAGCAGGTGGATCTCTATGAGTTTAAGTCCAGCCTGGTCTACATAGTGAGTTCCAGGCCAGTCAAGGCTACACGGTAAGATACTGTCTCAAAAACAAAACAGAACAAACAAACACACAAAAAAACAATAGCAACAGTAATACAAGGCAGACAGCTTCTGAGGAATGACACCCAAAGCTGCCCACATCTATGTATGCACGTGTGTGCATGCACGTGTGTGCTGTGTGAACCTACACAAACATACCTGCATACACATGAGTGCACACACTTGCACACATACACACAAAAATATTAAAAGTTGAAGCCAAATTAATCAATGTTTCTCTTAGATGGCTTGTGTTTTCTGACTATAGAGAAATCTAAATGTGATATTCGTCCACATTTAACCTGGACACCCAGGGCTTCTGGGAGAGCCCCCAGGCTTATCTCAGTCTCCACTGCACGTTTTAACTCAGTGATTACAAACACCTCTCAGACACTAGGCACACACTGGCGTTTCTGACTTGAATCCTATCCACAACACTCACGCTGCTGAAGGCTTCTTCCTAATGGCGGCTGGGTTCTGAAATGGGGCCTTTGGGCCGTGGGCCATGAGGGCTCCGACTTCATGAAGGAACCAATCCATTTAAGGATTCATAGTGTGTTAGTTCTTTGTCTTCAGATCACTGAAACGAAAACCTAACAGAAATCATCTTAAAGTGTTCCCTGCTGTTACTGACAAAGAGGCATCTGTGTGGGGTTGTCCGGCTCTCTGCTTCTGAGTCGAGGTGGGCCAGAGCATCATGGTGGGGCATGGTAGAGAAGCAGGATGCTCGATTCATGGCGGCAGGTAGCAGAGGGTGGGGACAAGGGACAAAACACTCCAAAGCCTTGCTCCAGGGACCTATTTGGAGGTAACCCTTACTTCCCCCATATTTCTCTCCCCCAAATGTCAAGGAATCACCCGTCCTGATTCAATGCCTCTCAGTTATTAAGTCCGCTAGTGAGAGCCAGGCTTTCAGCACGTGAGCCTTTGGTGAGACTTTTCACATCAAAACCACAGAACAGAACATATGGGTCTCAAGCGTTGTTATAAAAAGCAAGCCCTCTCCAGCCAGCACGAGGGAGCAGCTTTACTTTGCCACATGTTCTGGACGTGATGTTCTGCCTTGCGGCAGACCCACGGCAATGGGGCCAAGTGACCATGGGCCAAAGCCATGATCCGGATTAAATCTTTCTGTATTTGAAGCTGATTTTCTCAGGGTTTTTTGTCGCTGCACTAAAGCACTGGCACACAGCATCTCCTTCTTTGTCTTGGGGCTGGATTTCCTCCTACAGGCTAGGCAGGCTCATGTCCAGGGCTGTCTGCAGACCAAGATTTCTCTGCTGCTGTCTTCCCATGCTCTGCAGAGCCTGCGGATCCTAAGTTGCCATGGGATTTGAGCAGCTAATTATGACAGCTCATGGGACTTCCATGGATGGTGACGGCATTGGTTAAGAATTTGACCAGGCCCCATTCCGATCGCTTTCCGTGTCTTAACTCAATCCTCAGATCCCTGGGAAAAGATGACAGCTAACCTGGAGAAGTCAGTCAGCCCCAGGGCGACGTGATTCCGTAGCCGTTTTCCTCACCGGAATAAACTGCCGTAGCTGTGGCCGAACTTGTAAGCCAGGGGCGCATCTCACGAAATGACGCCATATTGAATGTTTTCTTTCTTTCGTCTTGTGCTTCTCAGTCTCAGCTCAGACTTCTGACTCTAAGGTCTTACAAGTGGGGCCTTCAGACAGAATTATTCGAAGGATGTTTCTTGGCTACCTGGGTGGAGGAGTGATCTGCCCCTCCCCAGTCCATGTAAGGCTACAGGGCAGGGTCATGTAGTTTGTGCCTGGCAGAAGAGCACATCACCAAGGCGACAGACTGACATCCAGGCTGCTTTGTTTTCGAGAGTCTTGAGGCTGTGCCTCCCACGATAAAGGGGCAATCTTGTTCAATTTCTATGAAGGCACCATATATGGTAGTAAAGGTCCTCTCCGAGCCTAGCTCCTGTCTCTAGGAGAACTACATGTACTATGACTTCGCCAGGCTAATCATCACCTTCTGCCCCTTTGGCTATAGTGGCTGGTTTGGAGCAATGAGTACATAACGCACACCAGGCTGTTTTGGGCCAAAAAGGCTTCAGTTAGAGGCTTTTGTGTGAGGTCTGTGAACCTTTTCCTATGTGGGTCAAAGCTGGAGTCATTATATCTATCTTATGAGATGAAGTTAATAACAAGACTAGTTCTCAGCCATAAAATGAAGAGAAAACCCCATCCCAGGACTACCTTTAGCCATTGGTCCAGTTATACCTCAATCCAATTTTTTAAGAATTATTACATATCATAAATTAAATCAATAAATTCTTATTTTTATTTGGGAAAGTCTGGCTATCACTTGCAATGGATAAGAAATACATGATGCCCTACACCCTGAGCCATCCCTCCTCCCCCCATTCCCCACCCTTTCCACCCCACACCACCCCACCCCACTCCTGGTCAGTCTTACCCTCCCCCACAGCACTTGCCACAACTTCCAGACTGTTTCTTTTATTTGATTTACTTTTCTGTCTCCTTCCACTGCCCAGCTGAAAGGCACAATCTGTAACGGCACCAACTTTGCTTATGGATGGCTTCCCAGGCTCCAAGCATCGACTCCTGGTACCCAGGATGCATTCTTGGAGATTTGTAGTATGCCACCCGCAGCTGAATTTCTAAGGATTGCTGACATTTTGCATGCATAAGGGAAGGGCAGCAGAGCTCCAGAGTGAACTGTGGACCAGCCTCCCTTCTAACAAGGTGGAAGTCAACTTGTTACTATGTGCGCCTGCTATGTGCGTGTGAGGGCTCGCCTGTTCCCAGCATCGCAGCAATTTCAGGACAGGGGCTTTGTCATCCACAAAGACCGCCCCAAAGCGGCAATGATCCCCACACGAAACTACTTCAAGCCCATTTTAAGAGCTTTCCCAGTGCTTATAGAATATACTTTTATCAGTTACTGTCTGGATTGTTATTTTATCTCTCCTTTGCTGTGGTGGGGACATAAATAAACTAGGAGGGAACCTGGACCCAGGTTCTTTCTTTTCTCCTGCGCCTTATTCCATAAACAACGAGGCCTTGCCTCGTGAGGGGATAGTCCCTCTGTGACCTCTCCATGTTCCAGTTCTCCCTGTAGCGCTGCAGCGTCTGGGGCCTGGATTCTACGTGGCACCCCTCAGCCTGCACCCTCAGTTCATCCATCACCTCTATCCAGGAATCTGACGCTTTCACTTCCCTCTTTGGAGTGGGTGGCTGCCCTTTCCGTGAAAATGAAAATGGCCCTTCTGTACCTGCCTGTCACCTCCTCTGAAATCTCCCTAGTATGATTTATTTACAGGTCAACAGGCCCCATTAGAGTAATATCTGACTGCTGTTTTCCTCTTGGTTACCTCTTTCCTCGCTAACCTTTCCTTCAGTTTTCCTGCAGTCAGCCCCCGATGGCTCTGGGGATAAAGGGCCATTCTCAGAACAACGCAGCAAGCTGTGTTCACTGCTTGGCCATGTCACAAGGATAAAGCAAGCAGCTGTCCACCTAATTGCACGGCCATGTCACATGGACTTTCTCTTCCTGGACACTTTTCCTTCTACTAGACAAGGTCAGGATCATACCAAAGCGAGCGATCTTCTCAACAGCCAGCAAATCCTATGTTCTTGTACTGCCATGCAGACCCATGACCTGGGGGATGAAGATGTAAGTGTTTTATAGTTTGGTTACCTCCTTTTTATTGGAACAGACATGCTATAAGGAATCTTAAACTCGGAGCACGGAGAAGTGAGTAAGGCCACGGAGTTTGTTAGTGGCAGAGAAGAGGTGAATTCCAGGGCCTCCGGGTCAGTCCTCCGCACCACTTGTGACTGTCACCTCCCATCATAGGCCCAGAAGAACTCTTAATTAAGCATTGCTCCACTCACTCTGAGCCTTGCAGGGACACTGTTTACCTCTCTACTCAGACTGAGTGCTGCTGGGGACACAGGAGGCAGGGCGAGGGGGAGGAAGATGGAACACCATGCAGGAGTGTTCCTGAGTCTTATTTCCCCTTTCCGTCCCCGTCACCACTACAGTGGGACTCCGCAGGCTCCTACACACCACTACAGTGGGACTCAGCAGGCTCCTACACACCACTACTCAATGAATAATTCATGGTCCACTTCAGACCGGCAGGGACTCCACTGATGAACACTCCACACAAGAGGATGGACAGTAGGGAAGTACAGGGACATGTGTGGGTGACAGAGGGAGGTCGGAGGTTACAGGGGCTGAAGGGACAGAAGCTCACTCTTGACCATTTGTGTTTTGGCTCCAAACTTTACTGGTATGACAGAGACCCAGTGGTCCGCGAGTATATTTCGATTTGTTTGAGACAGCCAAAGGGAAAAAGGACTATCAGGAAGGACTGCAGAGTGAACACTGAGACCAGAAGCCACTGCCCCACCACGCCAATCCCTGAGACTGGAAACCGCTGTCCCACCATGCTAAGCTCTCTGAAGCTGGAAGCCCCTGTCCCACCATGCTACGCTCTCTGAGCCTGATAGTCAGTGGACTGGAGGCCTCATCAGTGTTCGCTGCTGTGCTTCCTCTGGGGGGATAAGGATTATATCAGCCGCCAGGTGAGAGGGAGGAAGAGGGAGCTTGCGCACAGCTGGCAGGCCCTGAATTCTTGCTCTATGGCTTGTACTTGCATAGGAAGTGTTGGCGCTCACTGCATCTATTCTTGTTCCAGCTTAAAAATCCTGTAAGAAAATAAACAGACATTTAAGCCAAGCTAGCTCAGTACCAAATGTGCCAGAATTGTCTGTGTGTTCTTGGAGCGCCGGACAAGGGCCAGTAGTGGTTACTTCAGATGCCGACATGGGTATTGTTTCGTCCAGACGTCCAGCAAGTGCTAGCCCCCTAGCTGTCTAGATATTACTCTGTGGGTGTTTCACAGATATCGTTGACACTCAAGTCAAAAGACGTTGAGTAAAGGAGCCCAGACCAAGGGCTTCCTGGAGTAGAGAATTTTTCCCTCTAATTATTTTGGACTCAGTTTTTCCACATCAACTCTTGCAGTAATTTCCTGGCCCCCACTCCACCCCCAGGAATCTCCACCTCCCGTTACTGGTTCTCTGGGGGTCCCTGACTAACGCAAACACCCACTTTCTCAGATCACTGCAGGTTTGCACAAGCTCTACTCCGGCACTCCGGAGGAAGCAGCACCTGACAAAGGCCCAGGGAAGGCTCCCTTTATGTGCGCTTGGTTTATTGGTTGTTGGTGGTGGTAGTGGGGTTTTTGCTTGTGTTGGTTTTTTGAGACAGGGTTTCTCTGTGTAACAGCCCTAGCTGCCCTGGAACTAGCTCTTGTAGACCAGGCTGAACTCGAACTCACAGAGATCTACCTGCCTCTGCCTCCTGAGTGCTGTGGGATTAAAGGCATGCACCACCACGGCCTGACAGTTATGTTTTATTTTAAGATTTATCATTTTATTTTGTGTGTGTGTGTGTGCGCACCTGCAGAGGCCACAGAAGGACATCAGGTCCCCTGGAGCTGGAGTTGCAAGAGGTTGTGACCTGCCCAGTGTGAGTGTTAGGAACCCAACTCCTATCCTCTAGAGGAGCAGCAGCTGTTTTCAACGGCTGTACTCACTGTTTTATGTCAATTTGACACATGCGAGAGTCATCAGAGAAGAGGGAGCCCCAACTGAAAAAGTATCTCCATAAACAAGCCTATAGTACGTTTTCCTAGTGACTCATGAGCAAGGGTCCGCCCACTGTGGGTGGGACCATCCCTGGGCTGGTGGTCCTGCTATAAAAGAATAGGGTCAGCAAGTCATGCCGAACAAGCCAGGAAACAGCATCTCTCCATGGTTCTGCATCAACCCCTACCTCCGGGTTCTTGTTCTGCCTGAGTTCCATCTGACTTCCCTTGATGATGAACCTTGCTGTGGAAGCATCAACTGGATAAACCCTTCCCTCCCCAGCATGCTATTGTTCATGGTACTTCACCAGAGCAGGAGAAACCCTAACTAAGACAACAGCTGAGCCATCCCTCCAGCCCCTCCTTTGTGTTAGAAATGGTTGTGCCAAAGACCTGGGAGACTCCACAGCCAAGCTCTGAGATGCTCCAGGGTGAACTTCAAAGACCTGTAAGTCATTGTAACCAATCACATCCCAACAGGTTACCCACTTAAAAAGAAGGACTGGCCAGAGACTGGGACTTTTGGGGGACTGAAATATATATTTCTAGGAGAGGCCTAACTATTTCTGTTGGACCTCAAAATAGAGTTCCTCAGTCCTTGAGATCCCGGAGAGAATGTGGCAGGATGTTGAGTTTCCCCCTAGCTGGCGTCGGCTTAGGTCTTAACCTGCAGGTCTGATCCCGTCATCTACCTGTACTTCCCGTACTTGAGACACAGAGGGTGGTTGTGCCTATGTCCTAAACCAAGGGGCCTGTAGTTGGAGCACCAGAACATGACATGGAGACTACAAGCCTGCTGAGGGATTTCAAGTTTGGAACCAAGAGTGTGCGCACAAGCCTGCTAGTCTGGAATCGGCTAGTCAGGTTGGCTGGAATCTAGTCAGGTTGGCTGACTAGATATGTGGCTGTGTAGGAGGGTCCTTTGGGACATCCACTGAGCCCAGAGAAGAGATGGAATTGAAGCATGAGGTGACCAAGAGCAGCTTACCCATGGTGCCCACCTAGATCGGCACCCATTCTAATCTCCTCCTGCCTGCCTCCCTCCCACAACACTAAAGGGGGACGTGGTGGGAATGGGTTGGGGGTATGGGCACACCAAACCTGGGCAGTGAGCCCAGCCTATACATGAAGGCACTGAATGACTATTAAGGTGACTCTCTCCCTTTCATAAGGAGACATCTGGGGTGCAGAGAAGGAAGAAGTCCGCACCAGGATAGGCAGTTCCGTTAAGATGAAGAAGATGAAGATGCTCTATTTCTACAAGATCATCCAGAACACAGAGCTCCTGCCCTTGACCCCAAGGCAGACTGAACATAACTTGTCTTTTTTCCTTCTTTTTTCTTGCAGCACTGACGACTGAACCCAGGCCCTCGACTACACTAACAATTGCTCTGTGTGACCATACTCTCAGCTCTCTTCTTGCTTTCTGTTATAGCACAGGGCTCACTACATTGCCCAGGCTGGCCTTGAATTTACTCTGTCGTCCAGGCTGGTCTTGAACTTGATGAGCCTCCTGCCTCAGCCTTCCAAGTACTGGGATTGCAGGCCTGTTTTAGTTTGGAGTCTCAAAGTGAAATAGTGGGTCACAAAAGAGTTCTGGTGCAGAGTGGAGAGTCCCAAGGAAACGACAAAGGGACAGAGGGGACAAAACACCTAGAAGTTCTTCCTAAGTAGAAAGGAAGCAAGAACAGGCGTTGCCACCGAGAGCAGAGTTCATGCCTGACTGTACATAGGTAAAATCCATTCTACGGACATCAATAGCACTAGGGCGGGGTCTCATGAAGATTTCCCCTTTAAGGTCTACCCTTCACCAGCTTTTCACTCGCCTTGCTCCTTTCCCTGGGTTTTTAATTCATGACCCAGTTTTATGTTCTCCCCAGACTACCACCTCCACGTGTGACTGACCTGTGAGCTTCTGGGGAACTCTCCTGTCTCTCTACCCTACCCCCCCCCACCTCCTGTCTTCCTGTCCAAGTGCTGAGATCGCATGAGCACTACCTTGTCCAGCTTATGTGGGTTCTGGAGATTCAAACTCAGGTCACTCCGCGCAGCAAGCATACTGCCTCTCCTCCCCCTCCCCCCTCCCAGCCCCAGCCCCCTCCTCAGCCCCCTCCTTTGGCTTTCATTGTGTCTGAAGCCTGTGTTCTGATTGCTGTGAACTGAAGTGAAACCAGATGGGTGAATGGGACCAAAAGACTCAGGCTCCCCCTTCTTACAGATATGCCACAGGCTCCTTCAGTGTGGGATTCTACCGAGAGGAAAGACTCTAAGAACGTTGACCAGTGAGAAGCCCAGAACCACTTTATCCAGTGGGGATGCAAAGGGTCTCAGGAAACATCTGGTCAACTGCTTCCCCAAAGCTGATCTGACTAAAAGACAGACATGTGGAGGGCCTCATACGATAGGTCTGAGAGTCCCCGGACTATGTTCTCTTAGAATGTTCTTCGGTTGATCCTTGTGACTCCGAGTCTCTCTTCTAACACAGTTTCTACTACAACGAAAACAAAATGTCTAGCTTTTGTTTGGTTGACCCTAGTGGGGGGCTTCTCGCTGCTTCCTGGGGTAGCGCCGTGATGGGTTTGGGTGGTGTTAACTCGCCACAGCTTTCCCTCAGTTTGGGTGGACAACCTTGTTTTAGTAGCTTGTACCTATGATTTTGCCTGTGTTCTGGCTAACTTGTCTTTCATAGCAGCAGTGTGGGCTCTGCTGGCCTAAGAGATTCCCTTCTCCAGCTTTCACCTCTGCTGTCTTTGTCATAGTCTGTCACCCCATGGCCCCTTCCACTGATGTTAAAAAAAAAAAAAGTCCTTCACTGGGTTTAGCAAAGACTTCAGAGTGGGTCCAGACGACTGGAGGTTCATAGACTGTGTGTCAAGGCCGCTGTCCTGTGAGGCAGTGCTGCCGAGTGACAGGGGCGATGGGAGGAGGGCAAGCATGCCCCTTCCACTCCTAACAGGTTCAAGGACGGAGTTGCAGCTTGGAGAAAGGGAAGGGGTGCAGGGAACTTACTATCCTTGGGGTTCAGCGCAGCACAGTAATTGGCTCCACTCTTTGTCTTGTAATTCCACGGTGAGTACAGGTCTATAGACCCGTCAATCCACTGCCATAACTGCGTCTGCAATGACAGGAAACAGAGGGAGTGTGCAACCCAGCCAGCTCCCACTCCCACAGATGCAGCAGGCCCTCAGCCGGTGAGATGGGGTTTCAGGGGGCAAAGGATTGAAATAGATGAAGAACCAAAATTATGAAAGTCGCTCCATTCAATGACAGAGGAAAGCATCACCAATGTTTTAGCATATTTACTTCTATGGTTTTTAACCATATTGAGACATGGTTATCAATGTACTAAAAAAATACTGCTTTCTTTAAAACATTTACTTGAGTCTTTCTTGTTGCTTTCCAAACCCCCCTTCAACACAAGGATGTACAATAGTCTGCCTTAACAATCTTGTGTTGACTACTGAGTGTATTGTTTCCAATTACTATGAAAAACACTGCTATGACTAATTTTGTTGAGACTCATTCGGTGTTCTCAAAATTATTTCCTTATAATCTATTCCAGAAGAAGAATCAATGGGTCAGATAATGTGGCTGTTTTGAGGTTATTAATATCCAAACTGCCCACTTGTACAAACTTACATGCCCACTGACTGGGCACAAGGACCATTTCTCTACATCCTCAAGATAGTAGTCATGATACAAAGAAAAATGTTGATAATCTAAGTCAAATTATATAATTTTAGTTTGCATTTTCTTGATTGTTAGAGATAGAGAACAACATTAGAACATTTGTGTTTCACATTCACACATGTCAAAAAAAATCAAACTATAAAAATCTCACAGAAACAGATGAAAATGTATAGCTTGTCTTTGAAAGCAGAGTTCTAAGTGACAACAAAATAAATACATGAAAAATAATAAAAAATTTGGCCAGGTGTGGTAGCCTATGTCTTTAATTCTACAACTGGGGATGCAGAGGCAGGAAGATCTCTGTGAACTTAAGGCCACCCTGGTCTATGTAGCGAGCTCCAGGTCAGCCAAAGCTACATAGTCAGACTCTGTCTCAAAAAATGGAGGGGCTCAGCTGTTAACAGTGCCTGTTGCTTTTACTGAGGACCCAGGCTTGGTTCTCAGCACCTCCATGGCAGTTCACAACTGTGTTACCCCAATTCCAGGGCACCCCATTATCTTCTTCTGGCCTCCCCAAGCACCAGGAACATACAAACATGTAAATACACGCTCACACACAGAAAGTAAAAATATAAAACTATTTAAAAGTTAAAAAATTGTGCAATTCAAATAAACACCATTTAAAGCACATAACTGTATAACAGTTATAGCACACACAAAAATCACTTGTTTTTCTGCAATACTCAAAAGACAAAGCACGCTGTGAGTCACAGGCCAGTGCCAGAGAGTGACTCCATGTTCCTGGAATGAGGTCTATGAGCATGGGTGTCTCCGGCCATGTCATCAGAAACAGGAAGCAGGGTTTTCCCGCCTACACCCCTATTTCAGTTAGGTATAGACACCCCATCCCAAATCCATAAATACAGATACCGTGTGGTCCTTCTCATAGTCAAGTACTGATGGAGAGGTCAAAAGGGGTTCAGAGGAGAGAATTAAGAACGATTAAAAAGAAAAAGTGACAGAATCTCAGAAAAAGGTTAGTTGAAAGTTTTTACCTTTAATTAAGACCAAAGGCAAATAAATTACTCTGAATCTTCTAGATCGGCTTCCACAATTTCCCTCCCCCCCACCTCTCTCTCTCTCTTGAAGGCTCTGTAAAATTGGTACTTTAGTGTCTGAAGATCCAGAAGGACCTTAATTAAAAGTTCCACAGAATGGATTTGGGTTATTTCTCCCACTGAGGGAAAGAAGGGGTCCCTGACCTTCGGGCCTCGGCCTGAACCACTGGAGGCTCTTGGCAACAGGGCCACTACTTGAGTCCTATCTGTAGGCCAGAAAGCCACTTCTCATGGAATGATTGTCATTCTGGGTTTTCTAAGAGACTCTGTGAGCCAAACATGGGGTTACCTTCTGTGGGTCATGCAGGCCAATCCACACAGGCAGGTTTCTCTGATAGCCAAGTATGTACTTTGCTACGACTCTGGCTTCCTTTGAATTCGAGAGAGATGCCAGGTGGGATCCACTTCCGTACTTCTGACACTCCTCCTGCAAGGAGAGGTCCCATTAAAGATGCCACGAGCGCACAACCCTCTCCTTGGAGCCCTAGTGTACCGAGAAGGATGGTTCCCTTTTCCCCAACACTGAGATCTAAACCCCACAGGTGAGTTCTGTCACTATAGAAGACAGAAACCACGGTGCTGGGTCTCAGAGGTAGTAAAAGCTCAAGGCCCCGGGCAGGAGATTTAGCACCAGAGAAGTGCCTGGGGTCCTTGTGGCCTTCATAAGTCACTCCACCTCTCTGAGGCACAATTTCCTCATAGTTACAGAATCCTGGGGTTGTCTCACTCTCTCTCCTCCCCGCCTCTTTCTCACTCCATCTTTCCCCTCGCTCTCTCTATGCCTCCAGTTATTCAGGACTCCACTCAATAAGACATTTCCCTCCCTGAATTTGCATTGCCACTTCTCTTGGTCTGATCAAAAGGAAATCAATTTTGTTTACACTGCAAAGAAATTTTCTATTTAGACGTCACAACCACACATTGATTTCACACGTCGCCTGTCTGTTGAGGAAAGATCTCCCTCTGTAGCCAAGGCTGGCCTCAAACTACTCATGACTTCCTGTCTCAGCTCCCAAGAGCTGGGGCCGTAGCTATGTTCCACCATGTTCCCTTCTCTCAGTTTCAGAAGTCAGAGAAAACTGCCTGATCCTCATCAGCTGTCACATGGTGGGGACGCCACCCTTGTTCCTTTCTTTACTGAGTTACACGCAGGAAGGACACCCGAGACCACTCTGGGCTGGGCCATGCCACGTCGCTTCTATCTGTGTCAGTCAGCCACAAGCTGGAGAGATGGCGGTAATAATTCTCCACTTACTTGGACTGGCTACTTGGATATCTGTGAATGTCTTACACATAGCTGGAAAAAACAAAATCCAGGCATGTGTGGGTTGTGTCAAGTGAGGACACCTCCTATTTCTGACACTTGGCTTTTTGCCCGGTGTCCCTGAGACCTGTTTCAGGCATTTCCGTATCACTCTCTCTGGTAAGTCTCATAGAGGAATCCAGTAACTCTTTGCACAAGCTCCTCAACTCTTGATGCTTCTTTGAGCTGTGTATTTCTAGCTTTCTGAGGGTCATGGCTGCTTCTTTCTCCCTGCAGCCCATTGAGGGTCTTAGCACACGGTTTCTACATCATCAATGTTCACAAAATTGAAGGAGTTGAGCACACCCCTCTTTGTTTTAACCACAAGGCTTCTCCCGAGGTCCCAGGAAGAGCCCTTGACTTTAAGTCAAATATGATCTGCAGTTCTAGCTGATCCCCTGTTCTCAAAGAAATCAACACCTCAAACTTCTCACCTCAGCCTGAGACCAGTTTCCCATCTTCCGAAAGTATCCATAGCAGTGGGAACTGTAGTAAAACCATCCTGCAGCACAGCTGGGTCTCCAGACAGCTGTACAGAAACAAAAGACAGTTATAGATTGTGATGTCAAAACTCAGTATGATGAAGAGACCGTTTTTGGATTTGGAACACCTTAAGTAAAAGGAAGAGTCCATTTCAGAAGGACCCTGCTGCACTACTAAAAAATGTATACTGTGTCAGGCGGTGGTGGTGCATGCATTTGAGAGGCAGAGGCAGGCAGATCTCTGTGAGTTCAAGGCTAGCCTGGTCTTTAAGAGCTAGTTCCAGGACAGACTCCAAAGCTACAGAGAAACCCTGTCTCAAAAAACAGAAACACCCCTATCAAAAAAAAAATCAAAAAACAAAAATGTATACTGTATGGGGTTGGGGATCTAGGTAAACTGCCGGAATGCTAGCTCTGCATGCACAAAGCCCTGGGTTTTGATTCCCAACACTGAATATGCCAGGTGTGGTGTGCACATCTGTAATCCTCGCACTCAGCGCTCAGATGATGAGAGAGAAGAATCAGGAATTCAAAGCCATCCTGGGATACATAGTGCATTTGAGGACAGCCAGAGGACATGAGATTCGTCTCAACACACATACACAAACACACGCACACACACACACACACACACAGAGAGAGAGAGAGAGAGAGAGACAGAGACAGAGACAGAGACAGAGACAGAGACGGAGAAACAGAGAAGGAAAAAGAGGACAAACAAAATTTTTGTTATTACTCTTCTCCAGCCTTCATCAAAAGAGCTTTTACCAGGGGAGTATTTACAGGGAAGGGGAAATGAAGCTTTCTGGGAGTACTGAACACATAATCTGAACCAACGGTAATTCTAGAAACCCACATATCACCGCAGCTCTGCTGTCAGAGAAGGAACTAAGGAGGTCGTGAAGCCACTGGAGTTTTGTCCCACAATGTGTGCTCTGAAGCGTCACTGCCAATCAGTCGCTGCAATCTCCCTAGCAATGCGTGTGTAACTGCAGCAGACATGCTTGAGACACTGGTTGGATGACACGGTAGGAGCTCACAGAGTAGACAGAGACATAAACTGGGAATTGGAGACATTGTTAGGAGAAGGAGCCCTTTTTGGAAAGGGGTGGGATAAAAAGGCAACCGGGCTGAAATGAGGCCATGGGTAGGCTGTGTCTCAATAACAAGGAGAGGGGGTTACATTTCACAGAAAAAGTATGAGCTGGGCAGAGGCGTGGAGGCAGGAATGTGTCTGGAGGGTGCAGAAAGGGCAAGCTGCTAAGTTTGGCTTGAGTACAGGGGCTCTGTAATACAACATGACCAACAGGAACAGGAGAGGCCTGCGGCCAAGGGGGCTGTGATGCAGGAGGGCCGGAGCCTTTCCTGCTACTCGGCTGGCAAGAGTCTCTGGGCTGGAGCTGGTAACTGATAAAGAGGAGGTGAGTGGAACAGCAGAGGGACTGGAGACCAAGGGGATGTCAGGCTAGAGTCTGGGCAGAGTCTGGGCACTGTGACAATGTGGCTGCACACCTACACTCCAAGCCCAGTGCAAAGTCTTTCTTTTGTCGGTCAGATGACTACTAATAACATGTCACTCCTTTACTTCAGTCTGTACTGTTTCATCTACAGCCTGTAGCTTTCCAGAGTCCTGTCTTTCCCTTCCCTTCCCTTCCCTTCCCTTCCCTCTCCTTCCCTCACCATATAATCCTAGATGACCTCAAACTCACTGTGTAGCTCTCCTGCCTCTACCTCCCAAACGCTGAGATCACAGGCATTGGCATCATTCTTGGTTTTACAAAGCAGTGTGTGTGTGTGTGTGTGTGTGTGTGTGTGTGTGTGTGTGTGTGTTTGTGTCAAATCCAGGGTTTCATGCATGTTAGGTGCACCTTCTACCACCTGAACCACATTGCTAGTCCTCGTTCCTGTCTCAGTTCAACTGTCTTGCCCCGCCCACCAGCATCCTCCCAGGCACCAGTCCCAACTGATTTGGAAGATGGTGCCTCTTACAGATCTCGATCCATTGCGTGCGTGACTGAATCTGTGAATGACGGATTATTACTAACCGAGCTAAGAAATGGAAGGGAAGCATATTAATTATTTTGCTGTGGCAGAAAGGGTATGTTTTGGTGGTTGATGGAGGGGATACAGTCTTTTACTGCAGGAAGAGCCCGGCAGCCGGAACGCTATGGAGTGGTTAAATCTGCATTCGGGAACCAGAGTGAGGTGGGCACTGGTACTCAGCTCATTTTCCTTCTTTGTATTCAACCCAGGATCCCAGCTTGTGGAATGGCACTGTACACGTTCAGACTAAATCCCCTTCTGCAGTTAACCCTCTCTGGATACACCCAAAGCCGTGCCTTATAGGTGACTCCAAGTTTAGTTAACACTGCAGAGTAACCATCACAAAAAGGCTCTAGGGATGACCTAAAATAAATGGAAGCCAAACAGCAAAGGTCCTCCTTTATTTCTACTATTAGAAGATGGAGCACCGTTTTGCATTAAGAAAAAGGAAAGCATTTATTCCACTGTTACCCTGGCTGTAGCTACCATCACCAGCCATGGTTGGCGCTGGGCATCAGGCTAAGCAGTTGACTTGGGCTTTATTTTTATCAAAATAATTCAGAAAGGTAAACCAGGACAAGATGGTTACCTGATGAGAAGTCTCTCTCACTGTAAACTAGAAAAACTACTCTTTAGATTCAGTTTAATGGCCTTAAAGACCCACATTTCTACCAGGAACCTTTCTGATCTTTGATTTATGAATATGCAAAAATGAGAAATTAGGAACTTAGTAACAAATGATTACAGAGTGGAGAAACCTCAATTGTTTTATAAGACAATTTTAAAAAGCAAAGGAAATCTTAATTTTTGAACCTGACACTGAATATTCTTCTTTTCCTTGAAAAAACAATGTTCTTTGAAAGAATGTCTGGCTATGTAGCCCAGGTTGAACTCCAACTTCAGCCTCCTGAGTGCTAGGATTATAGGTGTGCACCAAAGCCCTGAAGAAATCAAAACTCTGTTGTTGTTTTGCTTTAGATCCTAGAAACTGGGTGTGGAAGTGATGGCTTTGTAGACCAAAGCTTTTTAAAGAGATTTGTGCTTTGTGTTGGCTAGTTTTATGTCAACTCGACACAGGCTAGAGTCATCAGAGAGGAGGAAGCCTCTGCTGAGAAAAATGCCTCTGTAAGATTGGGCTGTAGGCAAACACTTTCTTAATTAGTGATTGATGTGGGACGGCCCAGCTCACTGTGGGTGGTGCCATTCCTGGGCTGGTGGTTCTGTGTTCTCTAGGAAAGCAGGGAGCAAGTTGTGTGAAGCAAGTCAGTAAGCAGCACCCCTCTGTGGCCTCTGCATCAGCTCCTGCCTTCAGGTTCCCGCCCTCTCTGAGTTCCTGTCCTGACTTCCTTTGGTGATGAACCATGGTGTGGAAGTGTAAGTCAAATAAACCGTTTCCTTCCCAACTTGCCTTTGATGGTGGTGTTTTATCACAGCATGGTAACCCCAGCTAGGATATTGGTTACTGTTCTGAAAAATTTGATAGTAAAACGGTCTCAAATGAAGGATCGCCAAAGCAGCATTGGGAAGGCTTATAGTTTTCAAACCAGTGAACTGTCCCCCACAGGCTCATATATCTGAGTGCTTGCTCCCCCTGCTGGTGGCATTTTTTAAAAAGGCTGCAGAACTTTTAGTAGGTGCAGCCTCACCAAGGAAATGGATCCCTAGTGTGACCCAGGCCCATTTCTTGTCAGCTCTCTTCTTCCCCTGCCACCACACCTTCCCCATGGCTGTGGACAGTGTCTTTCAAACTGTTCTCCAAAAGAAACGCTTCCTTCCCAGAGCTGCTTCTCCTCGGGCCTTTGATCACGGCAATGAGAAAAGTGACTAACACAGGAAGCAGACCTTCTGACCTAAGGCTGGTGAGAATGTTCAGGAAGAGAGGCAGCAGAAGGCAAAACTCTCCAGCCCTAAGTATGAGGACCTGGGGGGCTGGTCACCTGGATAACCGTGTAACGGCACCTGCAGCGGAGCGTAAGAACCAGAGCCCGACAAGACACGGGACTCCAGCACAGGTCATTGTGTCCTCTCACGTGACCTGGAGGGAATCGGCTTGATATTCTGTGGGCAAACACACGGGAAAGGTACTCCTCCACCATGGCACTCACTTTCTCTGACTTGAGCTCAAGAGAACAGCCATATTGGGACATAAACAGAGGATCCAGAGGGGCGTCTGAGCATAGAAACCTAAGATCAGGATGCCTCCAGCCTCTGCCTCTCCCACCGGATTCTCTGCTTCTCTGTGCCTGTGTGTGCATCGATCTCTGTCTTTGGGATTCATCTCTCTTGCTTTTCTCCGCGCTTTTGCGCATGCCCCTCTGCCCCTCTGCCTCGCATTCTCCCCGCCCCTCTGCTGTTCTTCATCTTTCTTTCTGACGGTAGCCCAGCCTTCTTGCAGCTACCGAATGCGCCCCCTGGTGGGAGCATCTCAGTTGCTAAAAAATGCTTCCGAGGCCTGCGCTGTAGTGGTCTTGCTTTGGGCAGTCTTATTAATACTCTAGAACCCACCCCACCGCCGCTAAATAGTTTCTGACATCCCCGCCATGTCTCAGATGAGGAAACAAAGGCAGAAGGAAGTTGCTGCGCCTCACACTCCCACAGCGGACAGAGTGAAGATGAGCCCTAGACGACTCTGAGATGAGGCTCCAGCCGTCTGTAGTCAAGCTCAAGCTATGTTAAAACAAACAAACAAACAAAAAACTGCAAGCCACTCCCATTTGTGCAGGCTGCTTTGTTTAACAGCCAGACTCGCCTGGAGAGACGGCAATGGCTACCACCAGCCAGGAGTGTGGTGGAACTGGGCGAACCACTGTTTTCTCAGCAGCCCAGGACCCTTCACATCTCTACCAAGAGTGCCTTGGGGTGATCAGCAGGAACGGGTCCTAGCATCCAGGCTCCACATCTCTAGTTCTACTCTTCCAGCCTCTTCTAACTCTGGTCTCTTGCCTGCACAATAAACTAAGAACACATACTTCCCCACAGGGTTGCCTTGAGGGTTAGTGGGATAACGCACACAAAATGCACACAGTGTTAGCATTCTGCCTAGCATACAGCAGTGGTTGAATACATGACAGCTGGCTAGAACTCTAGCTCTCTTACATGATACCAGGATGGGTATGTAGAGCTATACCCTAACCCGTGCCTTTTCTGTTTTTTACAACCCGAGACAGGGTCTGCTTAAGCTCCCAAGACTGGCCTTGAACTCTATGTAGCCGAAGCAGGTCAGGTCACTCTGCACTGTTTTCCTGAGTAACCAGAATTCCAGGCACGCATCACCAGACTCAGCTAGAATTATAGCTTTTAAAAACCATCACCATTATTGCGATAACAAGGTGGAACATTACTGAAAACGTTAACCAGATGCAGTTCCCATTGTCTTTAAGTGTTTCTGTTTCTCCTCACAGAGCCACAGGCAGCCACAGGCCAGGTCAAGGAACCATTGTGGGGACAACAGAGCTCTGATCTTGGCCATCAGCCTCTGCTGAAAGAGAAAACCAATTTCTCAGTTCTCCACATCACCTTTAACTGAAAACAATGTTAGGCTTTCCCATACGCTGCTGTGCTCAGAATATATGGGATCTGTCTTAAGCACGGTTCGCAGGAATGTAACAATCAATGCCAAGTTTTTCTGCAGCTGGGAGGAAGATCTGTCTGGAAAAGAGCCACGGAAGGACCAATGGTATATGCTTTAGCTCTGGCTACTCCTGGGGAGAGAACCAAAGAGATTAGTGAAGTCCTGGGAAACGAATTGGAGAGTCTTATCTGATTCTCCAGAATACAGTCAAGGTAAATGTCAAGTCCTTGAAGGAAGTCAGAGGTCAGGGCATCCCTGAAACCACGTATAGAGATGGCTAGAAGGCAGCTCAGCAGTGGCTGGGGGCAGCTCCTGGCGTGCTGAACATTCTTGCAAGGGTGAGAAATGGTGGTTGAGTTCCTGGGTCCTGAGCAACCTGAGCAATGGTGAGAGAATTGATGGCTGGAGGCGGGTGTGGGGTTGGGAGCAGTGGGTACCATACACAACCATGTCAAGGGTAGGCTATGGCAAGGACCACAGCCTTCAGCTGATGACTCACAAGCACTGTTTCTCTTGATACTACCTTGTTTTAGCTTCTCCCCTTGAGCAAGCCCATTCAAGGGGTTTTAGGCATCACTAGATCTTTTAGCGGCCTCTTTTCTCAACAGAGATGATGCTCAAGCAAGCAATTCTTACACTGCCACCTCCAGCTCCCACCGAGGCTATGGAGGACTGTGGGAGACATCCAAGAAGAGGAGCTGGCCAGAGCACCACATAGTTCAGCAGTGTGACTTGTGACAAATCTCTGCCCTCGTTTTACCCATAGATTCAACAAAGCCGTTACATCAGATGAGCCCACATTCTAACTTGTTCCAGTCCAGATTTTCCATGGTATTGTTTTTTCCTCTGCATACTTAAACTTTCCCTGTCCTATTTTCTCTACTGTAGATCCTGTACAGTCACTGGCACACTCCCTGTCCTCGATGAATGATCTATGAGCGTACAATAGCCATCTCTGCAACTAGGCTTGCAGGTCCCTGGTAAACTGGATCTTTCAATAGGCTCAAATAAGAGAACAGTACATAAGGCTTTCGATGCTGTGATTAGAGCTGTCAGTCACAGACAGTCTGATGCGTGTCGGGTTCTTTAGACAGACTCTCCATCACTCGCAACAAACTTTCAGAATTTATCCCGCAGCCCACCCACTAAGTATGGCTTACAACCACCGTGGGCACCCCTCTTTGACTGTAGAGCCATTGACGGGTCACATTAGCTTTCCCTCTTCGAGATACATCTTTCCTGAAATGCCTGCGGATGTGAGCGGATGGTGTGATGTGTGCGCTGTGTGCTTGCTGACTGTGACTGTCTTTCAATATGTGACTGAACTCACCACTCATGACTTCAGGGCCAGTTACAAAGCTCAGCAGCAAGAACAGCCAAACGCATTTGGGAGCCATCTTCCTCTTTCACCAGAGATGATACTTCGATGTTTTGATTTCAAGGCCTTCAGAACTCTTGCCAGTTTTCTCTTAAAGACTCTGGTGTCTCCTAGACCTGCAGTGGACCAGTGAGAAGGATGCTGGAGTTTAGATATCACATTGAAATATTTCCAAGTAGATGAGGGTTTTACAAGGATAATCCCAAGGTTGACATACAGATGAGGAGCATTTAGTTGATGAGGATTTAATCTTCCCTTCAAGCCCCTCTGGACCAATGGCAGAGACCTAAGGACAGCAGGAAGATGTGCTTAGCAGTCTAAGAGTTTGTGAACCACCCAGTCCCTGTGTTGTTATTTCCGGGAGGGTCAGCAGAGGGCGACATGGGCACACTTCCTCACGGGGGTAATAAATAGGTCTTTGGAAGTCCTGGAAATGTAATAAAGGGGTTCCAATACAGAGAGTTTTTTATAATGTTGATGATAAAGTAAACAGATGGTCCAAATACAGTCACAGATAAGAAAGCCTGGGTTTACAAGGACTGGGCTATTTGCTGTGTGTCACCAGCAACTGTAACTAGATCGGACTCTTGAACCCTGCTGACATCATGTTGAAAAAGAAAGAAAGAAAGAAAGAAAGAAAGAAAGAAAGAAAGAAAGAAAGAAAGAAAGAAAGAAAGAAAGAAAGAAGCTTTCTAGTCTCCCCTTTCATTATCAAGAAACGCACAAATCATTAAAATATAAACACAGATCAAGAACTAGGAAGTGAGCCCATCTCCCAGAGAGGTAAGCAGTTCGGTGAAGGGCCTCCATGTATAGGTTCACATAAATCAAATCACATTGCCTCGTAATCTGGCTGCTTCTCAGACACAGACCAGCCACAGAGGACGTTCCTGCAGCCATGGTTCTTCGTTCGGCTTCTCTTCTCTGTTTGGCATGAACTTACGTTCTGCTGCACCTGGAGTAAGTCCCTTGGCACTTTGAAGCCCCCTCTCCTCTGGAAGGCTCGCCTACCCATCCTATTGGGAGAATTCAAGACCGCTGCCCTCTTATCTCACGAAAAACGCTTAAGTTTGTCAAAAAGTGCTGCTTACTAAGTTCGATGTTTTAAAAAAAAAATGTTTGCTCATACCTAAAGGCTGTCAGTGAAACAGCATCTTTTATATATGATTTTTGAAATTTCTTATGTGAATTATCAGCTTATAGCTTTGTACACTTTTCTATTTTGTTGTTCTTTTTTGATGATTGATGAGACTCTTTAATATATTTTTTGCTTCCTATTGGGGTCCTAAAAGTATTTCTCAGTTCATACTTTTCATACGTATATAGCATTCTAAAGGACCACAGACTTCAACTGTAGGGGCCAACAGGAGGCCCCAAAACTCCACTTCCTTTTGCTTCCTTGCAGTAGCCCCCACCCCTGCACTTAGCTCATCCAACAAGTGCTGAGCCACGGGCTTCACCGGATCTTTCGGCAGCCTCTTGACAGCAGTAATGTTCAAGTTTTAAAAATGCCTTTGTTATATGAACAGTCTTCTTTATAACCTTTGAATGTCTGCAAGAAACAGTAGCCACCATAGTGGCACAAGGTTAAAATGGGCACCTACAGCCCTTTCTAATCTTATCTACGCTTTATGGCAATTCTAAGCCCTAGTAGTTTTTCAGAAGTAACTATGACAATGAAGAATTCGTTGAATTCTTATTTAACCATGCTCTCGGATCAAAAGCCAAATAACAAAATCTCAAATAATTGGTGGCCTGGGAGCCAATGCAATAGGGCATCTAAACTGGAAACTTCTGGAAAGCCTAATCCACAGCCCCCATGAGCACTTGGGTCTGGCAGTAACCGAGGGGGCGCCATTCATGTTCTATTTGCTTTCAGTTTTTAAAATTATCACATAAACTTTGCGCTTCTTTGCTGCGGTTTCCTTTCTAAAGTACGGTGGGATTTCAACCCTTTGAAAAGCAGCTAGCTGGAACTCAACGGTCAGGCTGATGGGCTGGAGAGATGGAGGACAGGATTTGAGGCACCTGGTGAAACCCTGTTGTCTCCTTTGACCTCCATAACTACACTGCACTGTGAGTGTCAGCAATGTTGCTGATAAGCCAACTGCCATTCATTGTATTCTGTCACTTTCCCTGAGTTTCACAGCGACCAGTCCACAGAGCCACCACACAATCCAACACCGCTGGCCACCAAAGCCAACTCTCTTTCCATAAGAGCAGAAAGAAAAGAAACAACTCAGGGCTCCAGACCAGGAGCAGCGGAAAAGATGTTTGCTGTGTAAGCCTGGCAACCTGAGTCCCATCCCTGGGCCCACGTAAAGATAGAAGGAGAGAACTCCAGAGTTGTTCCCTAATGTCTGTTCGCCTTGCGCGCATGTGCAAACACCCACACAGCAGTTAATATTGATGACGGTGTTAAAAATGAACAATTTAAATCAAAACAGCGCTAATAACCAACACCCCAGCAGAAGCAACAGAGATGTATCTTGTAATTTCCGATCCACAGGGTAGCTGGCAAAGAAAAACAGGTGTTCACAGAAACCCCGCTGTCCCCACCGCCAGGAGGATTGATTACCTGGTTGCAATCACACTCTGAGAACTCTGTCTTCTTCAGCGTGAGTGGTCCCAGGTTCCTGCGTCTTTATACCTCTTGCCTCAGGATATGATGACCTGTTGAAGTCATGAGGCAATAGCGTTGTTTACAAATAATTACTCTTATCTACTGTAAAAAAAATGGACTGTTTGCGTGATTGCTGTAGAGTGGACACACACTGGGCTTTGTCTAGCCGAGAGCAGAACCTCTCCCTGTGTGCAAACAAAATCCTTTATGTCCATGCTATTAAAATGAACAGTATCCTGTAGTCTGAGAATGGCCCGTTTCCTCTCTCATTTCTTCAGTTAATTGTGCTTGGTTATGTTCTGTTTTGTTTTTTTTCCTCTCTCTCCTTTCTGACTCTTCATATTGGAGGTGACCTCTGTCTTCTTTTCTTTCCTGGAAAAATGTTCCACTTTGAAGAGTTAGATTTCTATCCTTGCAGAATAGATTTGGCTTTAGGTTCCGACTGAAGGCCACATAGGCTCTTCTCCCCCAAGCCATTCCCACCTCCCAGCATGCATCAAGGTCCTTAGACCACTGTTTGCCTTTCTCCTGTGGAACTGAAGGCACTGAAATCTGTTTTGACACAGGCAAATAATGTCAAAATAGCTTACACTGATAGAGTATCTTATAGCAAATTCTTTCCTACATCATCAAATGCCCTATGGGCCATGTAGGACAGGCTTCTCCCAATGCACAGTTAAGAAGCCCAGTTGTGGGGGCCCAGAGAGCACCTGCTGTCTTCCCAGAGACCTGGATCAGTTCTGAGCATCCGTGTCAGGCAGGTCTCACCCGTCTGTAACTACAGCTCCAGGAGACCTGAGGCCTCTGGTCTCCACAGACAGCTGCACTCTGTGCACACACCCACACACAGACACACACACACACCTGTACACAATTAACAATAATAAAAATAAACCTTAGAAAAAAATTTAAAACCCAATACAAGAGAGCAGTGGTCTGTGGGTTCTCAAGGCTCATCTGTGGCGCATGCAGAACTCTGGCTTCCTCGCTCCAATCTAGATTTCTTGGCTGAATTCCCAATCGTTTTTGAAAAAGAGGAGCTATTTAGAAAGGCCATTAGGTTTGCTTTTCTGTGAAGAGGGTAAGGGATTGATTTGTGCTGTGGGTGCCAGAGATTGCTCATCTCAAATTACAGAGTTAGCTCTGTAAGGATCATTGTGTCTGAAAGGGGCCACAGTGATGCTCAAATCTGACTGCAGAGGCGTGCCTTCGCTAAAGTAACTGACTGGGAATCGTAAGGAAGCCAGGGCTCTCTGCTCCAAGCCTAGGCTGCTTTCTAGATGCTACTCTGCCTCTGTCATTGGGCTTTTCCAACCTCTGTGTAAATTCATGATAGGGCCTGAGAAAGCAAGGAGTCCCAGCTTACCTCCTCCGGCGGCTGATACCCTCTGATGATGCTCAAGGAAGAAGGCATGGGTTTGGCTGGTTCAGGTGGAGTTCTGTTCTGCTCTCACTATACAGCACCATCATTAGCTGGGCAGGAGTGGTGCATGCCTTTAATCCCAGCAGAGACAGGTGGATCTCAGTGAGTTTGAGGACATCCTGGTCTACATATTGAGTTCAAGGATAGCCAGGACTACTTGGAATAGATAGATAGATAGATAGATAGATAGATAGATAGATAGATAGATA